GGGGATCTCCTTCTCGGTCTCGCCGGCCGCAAATAAACCCAATAATCGGGATCTTGAAGATGGAGAAGAGGAAATGGAGACGGTAAAAGCGAATTGGGTCCATCCATTTTCGACGGCGTCGTTGACAAGCGAAGGGTTGTCGTTCCAACTGAACAAACGTTTTTGCGAAACCCCAGAAGGGTAAAAATTACTGAGTCGCCTTTTGGCGTCTGATTCAGATTGGCGATGAAGCTTCACAGTCCCAGAACCAGATTGCTGTAATGAATTTTCCACACTCTGTAAGGTCTCAACAGATTGTGATTGAATAAGAAGCCGCCGCCGCCTCCAAAAGTGCAAACCGGTCAGCAACAATGCAAGAACTACGACGGACGCGACAGCTGCAGCAACAGGAGAGAATCCGGCCATTTTTCAAAACCTCAGAACTTTACGTCGAATCGACAAAAGGAAGACTCTTTTGAGAGCAAGAAGGTGAGTTGAGAGGGAATGGCGGAGAAAGTTATTGGGGCGGCAAAAATTAACGACTTTTTCAAAGGAAGGAAGAAGAAGCAAAGCAAATAGTGGTCTGGTCTGGTCTGGTGTTATTTATGGCTTGAACTTGAAGCCATTTCAACGGATGGACAGAGTTTCGGATTATTTAATAAAAAATAGCCGACAGAGTTCTGTGATAGAAAATGGAATGTGCTGATTCATGTTGCTTAGGAAGGGTGGAGGGACTGTGGAGAGAGATGCCTGGATGGATAATGCTTTGATTACCTGGAATTGGAAACTAAGCCCAACCTATCTGCTTCCAACTTCAAATCAAAACCAAGGTTATTCTTTTTTATTTCTTTTCCTATATTTTGTGTCTGATTATTTGTGTTTCAGAGGGGACAGATGGTGGGATTTTGGGCCACTCCGCCGTACACGGCGACTGTTAAAATGCAACCGACCAGCAGTCCCAACACACAAACACAAAACACCACAGATACACTTGCACAGCTTACCTCAGACAGTTTTTGGAGAATTTGAAGTTGTGAGATCCGGTAAGAGAGACGAACAAAACATTATTTAAAACTTTGAGACTAGATCTGTTAATAGTGAGTTTGGGTCATTCAAAATGTTGTCATAGTCATCGGGTGTTGTGCCAGCGTCAGACACCGGGCAGTGTACTAGCGGGAACGTTGGCCCCCAATTGTGAGAACGAAGCCTTTAAGGGGGTGGACAGTGAGATCTCACATCGTCATTACAAAATAGTACCATAGCTAAACACTGGACAGTGTGTTAGTGAGGACGTTGAGCTCTAAGAAAAGTGGATTATGAGAACGAAGCACTCCTTAGGTAAGGGTGTGAAGCCATCATAGAAGTTCTCACGCAACGTTGTCTTAATAAGAAAATGACTCTGATGGGCCCGAAAAGCTAAGGTGAAAATCCACTTATATAGTAGATTAAGGCAATACAAAAGGCACCCACCCCTTCCATTTCTGATCCTCGACCTCACCTGTGATGTCCCACTTTGGTTGGGAAGGAGAACAAACCACCCTTTATAAGGGTGTGGAAACCTTCCCCTAGCAGACGCGTTTTAAAGCCTTGAGGGGAAGCCCGAAAGGGAAAGCCCAAAGAAGACAATATCTGCTAGCGGTGGATCTGGGTCGTTACATCACCTTATTCAGTAATTCCTTCCAAGTTCTTACGGAAAGTGCTAAGTTTGAACAGTATTTTGTGGTTGGGGATGTAAAAACAGGTGGGATAGAAAGTAATTAATAAGGGTTTTTACATGATTGAGTTGGTAGTGTTTGAAGGAGTGGGGATGTCTGGTGCTATAATTTGAAATGAGCAGGGGAGGGTAGCTCCATTATTAATGATAATATCAACCACTGTGCACAGTTAATAATGTGAAAGCAAAGATTCGAGGATTATGAGTGCAAATGGCGAAGGCTTTTTCGTTTTAGAAAAATGGAAAAATAGAAGAACACAATCGATGTATGAGGAGGCAAAACCATGCAAGTAAGAGCCAATACAATATCGACTGTCTATGTTCCAGCAGACAGATTCGGCTTAGGCAATGATTGGCTGCTTCTGCCGGCTGAAACCCCATCCCATCACCTGCTAGGAAAAAAAAGTTTCCATCCTCGCTGGGTTGCTCCTCCAATTGACGTGAAATCTTAAAATTCATTCCTTTTAAGGGACCAATGTTCTTAGGTGTCCACATCCTTTGAAGCTCGGTGTCTTTGTTGGCACACCGCCCGATATCCCTCCATTTTCTTCGATATTATGAATTGAATTGGCAGAGGAATCAAAATCCCTCATTTTTTATTCTAAAAAAATGTACTTTTTGGATAATCAGCTCTGTTCTGAAATGGGTTCTTTTGAGTTTTAAAGAAAAGGTTTAAAATTCATGAGATGGGAAGCACGTTGTGTTGGCGACACCAATCTTCTTCTTCCTCCATGGGTGACTCGCTGCATCTTGCCGCCATACATATCTTCATATAATATCATTTTTAGGGATCTCCGGCTAAGAAACCTCCATCTTCTTCTTCCCCTTAGCTGGCAGTCTCCTTTAATTTGCTTTTCTTTTTCTCTCTCAAATGAGACAACGTTTAATAACCATTCTGTTTGTATCAACCAAGAACAAATTATAAAAACGCATTATTCAACCAAAAGAATTTAAAAACACATCATTACCCAAAGTTTATACGCAATATCACAAGATTCTGTGTTTCATTTTAATATGTACCCACCCACTACTTAAGACACGTGTTGCTTTTGGACGATCATGGGCCAGAGTTGTTGGACTATGAATCCAAATATCTGAGCTGAGGCCCAAAGGAGAGTCGCCAAATTGGCCGCAGGGTCTCCATAAGTACATTCAATAAGGCAGCGGAGTGGCGATTTGAAAAGGGGCTGGCTGGAAAAGAAAGGATATCTATGTTGGCGGTGAATCCCTTAGCGATAATGATTGATCTGGATGGTTGGCATCCATGATTTGGCATTTACAAAAGGGACAGAACAGAGCCCGATTGCTTATAACATACGAATTGGTTATTTTAGTTAAGGAAGTGAACCCACTACCTCCCTCCTGGTATGCTTGGATTGGGGAACAGTATCTGGGGTTGGCTCTGTACTTGCTGGGAGAAGTGATTGATGGGTATGGAAAGCTATGGGATGGTGGGTGTCGACGTGGAGAGATTGAGGAGAAGGAGAGCAAGAGTGGTTGTCAAGGGGAGTGGAGTTTGAGTGACGTGGGAAGTTGTAATGCTGAGTTGGAAGTCACCGTTGTCCATGTCAGATCAGGAGTTGTAATCGTTACTTTACTTCCTTTTGTTTTTCCCAATTACGCTACCACACCTTCATAATTTAATCTTATGTTTATACATTTGTTCACATGTTTTTGGTTATTTCGGTCTCTATTAAGTTACATTAATAATAATAATAATAATAAAGAAAGTTGTGCCATTTTTTTAATCTATATAATTCAATAATAACGAAAAAAAACCAGTTAATGTCAGCAGCCTTTTATTTATGCGACTAAAACTTCAAAAATTATATATTTTTTAAGAATATTTAAGATATGTCTTGTGGGAGTGTAAAACATTATTATTATTATTATTATATATTGTATGGGACCCACTCAAAGAAATAAATCCAAAACTAAATGTCAACTACAATTATTTATATCACATGAACATATAGTTTTCACACCTTATCATGTTATCCAAAACGTTGTTGCTACATCATTTTTAGATTTATCTCTAAAATAATTTCATTTTATATAATGATTGATTTTTGTTTTATATTTTCCCTCCAAAGTTAGCTAAATTTAAAAGTAACTCTTTTTTGTGATTTAGATAAATATAAACATCGACTAAAAAATTTAGTCGAGTAAATATATATTCATTATTTTTAAGTTATTAGGATGTCTCACGTTGGTTTGAGAGGAGAACGATTTTTTTTTTTTTGTTTTATAAAAGTGTAGAAACCTATTACTCATATTGTGAGACAGATAATATCTGCTAGTAAGTTGGTGATTTAATAGCGGTTTTAAAAATATTAAGAAATATACATAAAAGTTAAATAATAATTATTTTGTATATTGAATAGTTATTGAAGAGGAAAGGTGGAGTGATATTAATGAGTAATATAATTTAAATATGGATGGGGAAATAAGACAACAATATGGTTTAGACTTAATATAAAAAAAAAAAAAAAATGTGTGGCTTAGAAAATTAGTGTAACAATGGTGGGGAAGGAATTGGATTTGGTACACATAATTTAACCAAGTTTGTGATTTACAAATTGGGGAATGCCCATCCAATCATATCTTTTTAAACAAAATAAACTATAATGACAAAATAATAATAATAACAAATAAAATTAAAAAAAAAAAACAAAAGTTAATATAGCATTATTATCAATATTTTTAATTTTCCACCCTAACGTTTTTATTTTGATTCAAACAATCATAGAGTGAATGTAAAATTATTGTTGTTAATTGTAACACGTGTAGAAATTAAATCCAATTCCGGAGGCTAATATGAATGAATCTAAACATATATTAAAGGAATCGGCCATGACTTACTTTAATAATGGTTTAAGACGGTTAATGAAGCATTAATTAAATTTAATTATGTTAAAAGAGTATTGAAAAGTCAAAATATTTAAAAAATCAAACCGACCATCCCCTCTTCTCATTAGCTATTGCCAAACAAACTGCTCCCACGTAATGCGTCATAAAAATTAAAACCTCTCTCTGTCTCTGTCTCCGTTTCGAACCCCCGCCCTCCCATTCTAATTAATTCCTCCAAATCATGCATAAAATTAATATTTTATAAATTTATTGCGTGGACGGAAAGTTTTGGACGGACACAGAGTCCACCGCCGCCGACTTTTCTCTCAGCTACTTCGCTCCCACGCTGTACCATCATCATCCACTTGTCCACCATCCAAGTTACCTATTTTCCACGTCATCTTCTTGTATTATTTACGTTAACATGTATATATATATTTTTTTCTTTCTGTTAATTCAGTTTGCCCAAGAAAAAGAAAAAGAAAAAAAAAAAAAAGGGATGTTTATGACCGGTGATAAAATATGTCGGCCAAAGTTGGATTTGTGTTGAAGGAAAATCAACGTGGCGGGCGTGGGCATTGGACAGAGAAGCAGCGAAGTAGGAAACAATTCCGCCCTTCTTTTTATCTTCTAAGAGTATTTTGATGTATTTATATTTATTTGAATTAATATAAATCTGGCAATCCCAAAGCTATGTATAAGTAGATTCAAACAGCGCGCCACCATCTTGTTTGTTCAAACTGGTGCTGGGGTTCTGTTTTTATGTTTTTTCTCATGGCTCTCATGTTTCAATTTTTAGAATTATAAATACCCATAATCGGTTCTTGCGGTGTGTGAAGATGGAAGGACAAGTTTGCTCGGGTGTAAGTTCATCGACAGAGAAGAGGAAGCAAAGGCATCAACAACAGAAGCAATACAGAGGAATAAGGATGAGGAAGTGGGGGAAGTGGGTAGCGGAAATCAGAGAACCCAACAAGCGTTCCAGGATTTGGCTTGGTTCTTACACAACTCCGGTCGCTGCCGCCAGGGCTTACGACACCGCCGTTTTCTACCTCCGAGGCCCCTCCGCCCGGCTGAATTTCCCGGAATCGATTTTCGAAGAGGACCAACTGCAGGATGTGTCAGCCGCCTCCATACGAAAAAGAGCCACCGAAATCGGCGCTAGGGTTGACGCCATCCAAACCTCTCTACTTGCCTCTAATTCAAACTCTCAAATTTCGGAGAAGCCTGATTTAAACCAGTACCCCAACCCCGAAAGCTCAGACGACGATTAATCTCGTATCTCAACCAATGATTCCGTTTGATCGGCTGTAGTTCTGCGATTGTAACCACTCCAAATCGGCTAATACAAATAGTTGTTCTGATGTTCCCCTTTTTTTTTTGTTAATTTTATTTAGTTTCTTTTTAAAATTTTTGATGTTTGGAGTAGTAGTCCACAAAAAAGAGGAGAAATTAGGAGAGGCGTGACCGTGTTGATGAGTGTTTCCAGGTACGGCCACCGGAGAAGATGGGGTAAAGGATAGAAACAAAAGAAAGAAGAGAAAAGAAAAGAGTTTGGAAGGAGGGGACAACAACTGGTGCACATGACATGCTTGTGGACTCCACACAACAAAGGCAGAATGAGAAAAGAAGCACAATATATGTGAGAGCGAGAGGAAGCCGTGTTGGTGGCCTCTCATATTATCAGCTTTTCAATTCTCACTTCCAGTTCAACCCTTACCCAACATTTGTTTTCATTTCCTTATCTTCCTATAATACCAACAACATGGAGACGACAACCGCACACTCCAACCACCGCCGCCCGCCCCTCCAAACCCTATACATCAACTCCCTATTTTTCTTCTCCGCTTATGCTTTTGACCAAACAACTTGTAATTTTTTTAAAAAAAATCTAAAAAAATATAATATGTCACTCTAGGGCAGTGAATTTATTGGTTTTAGTCAAATCTTAATTAAATTTTCTCACCTGTCTAGCAACCAGCGATCCAAACTGGGATTCATTCACTTTCATCTTCTTTTCCTTCTAATTATTAGTATGCCAATCAAAACCTTTTGACTTTTCTCTTTTTCCTTTAAAATTCCTGCCGTGGATGTGGGTCGAACCTGAAACTCCATTAAATTTTGAATTATTAAAACACACCGCTTTTCATGGATCTTGTACAATTTTCTTTCCATTTTATTCATCTTCGTCTCAGCTTCCATGCACGACCCATATCCACAAATATTAGTTTAAATTTAATACGGACACCAAACACCAACACCAACCTTAATAATTGCCGGAATCCCATGATGATTTGTCATACAAAGAGGTCGGTGCCAGGTGCAGTTGACACCTCCGCTAATCTTCTTTATTCCACACTCCTCCATGGATATAATCGAAAATATTACACCATGGTTAAGGTTCTATGTACTGTGAAGTAAAAAAAAGAAAAGGTGGTCAAAGGTCAAAGGAATGGTAGTGTTTATTGAGTGGTGACTCACCGTCACTGAGCTGTCGCTTTCGTACCGAACCGTTTCCAATGCGGGGAGGGTTTTGTTGGGATACAATTCAGTAACGTGTCGAGCAGTTATTTAAAACACAAGTTCGTCCCCACCGCTTCAAATCTCTTTGCTAATATATTCGAGAAATTGAATAAATCCATAATTCCACGCCCACTAACCCATGATGAGACAAAAATGTATTATATGGTTTATACTCCGCACGGGTCACACATCAATTATTTGGAAATAATAAATTAATACGTCACTCAATAATATGTGTATGGAGGAAGCATGTAGCATTCGAGAATATTGAGTATTTTTATTAAACCATTAAATAGTATTTACCACACAAATTTATAGATTTTAAAATTAAAATGACTAAAATATTATAGTTACAAGTTTCTAGCAATGAGCATTGTGAGAGTTAGATCTCACATCGGTTAGAGAGGATAACGAAACATTTCTCATAAGAGTGTAGAAACCTCTTTCTAGTAGACACGTTTTAAAACTATGAGACTGATGACAATATTTAATAGGCCAAAGCGAAAAATATATACTAGCAATGGACTTTGACTGTTACAAAATGGTATCAAAGCTAGACACTAGGCGGTGTGCCAGCGAGGACGTTGGACCCTAAAAAGTGAATTGTGAGATCCCACGTTGGTTGGAGAAGAGAACAAAATATTCCTTATAAGAATGTGGAAACCTCTATCTTGTAGACGCGTTTTAAAACATGAGACTAAAAACAATACGTGACGGACAGGTTAAAGCAGACAATATTTGCTCACGGATGTGCAAGTGAGAACATTAGGTCTCCAAGGGAATGGTTTGTGAGATAAGAGAGAGATAACGAAATATTTCTTATAAAAATTTGGAAACCTCTCTCTTCGGTTAACGTATTTTAAAATGTGAAGTTGACGGCAATGCACAGTGGGCTAAATCAGACGACCTTAAACGGGCCTGGATTGGACAATATATTTTTAACTGGGCTTGGGCTGGGGCAGTTAGAGTGAGACTGTCTGATTTGGTAGAAACAGAGGAAGAGTGTCGGTGTTTATTGTGAAGAATGAAGTAAGGCAGTTTTAAAAAATTCGCAAATCCCCAGTTTTGTACAAATAATTGAGGTGGTGGGTTTGTTCTTATCGGAATCCTATCTTCAACAGACGATGAAGCCCCAACATCCTTCAGTCCGACGGATCTCCGAGTGCTTTCTCAAACCAGACATAGAATGCCTTCCACAAGAATCAAAGCAGCCCCATTACCTGAGCCATTGGGATCTTAACCTCCTTCCCATCCAATACATCCAAAAAGGTCTTCTCTTTCGCAAACCCTCCGAGGCCTTCGAAGATGGACACCCTTTTATGGCCACTCTTCTTCACCGCCTCAAACGCTCCCTCTCCTCTGCTCTCTTTCATTTCTACCCACTTTCCGGCCGCCTCGCTTCCATCATTAATGAGCATCAAGCTTCCATCTTGGTTTATGTGGACTGCGTTAACACCCCTGGAGCGAAGTTCACCCACGCCGCCCTCGACCTCACAATCTCGCATCTTCTCTCCCCTGTTGATGTGCCTTTAGTGGTTCACTCTTTATTTGACCCTGACCTCCAAACAGCCGTCAACTACGATGGCCATACCCTGCCTTTACTATCCATTCAGGTAACGGAATTATTGGACGGCATCTTCATCGGTTCTTCCTTCAACCATTCCATTGGCGATGGAACCTCCCACTGGAATTTCTTCAAGATGTGGTCTGAGATTTTTCAGTCACTACCACCGGATGGAGATGATATTGTTTCAATTTCACGGCCACCCATTCTGAAGCGGTGGTTTCCTGAAGGGCATGGCCCAATTATCAACCTCCCCTTCACCCACTCCGATCAGTTTAAGATAAGATTAAAAGCCCCAGAACTCAGGGAGAGAATCTTCCACTTCACGAAAGAATCTATTGCTGCGCTCAAAGCAAAAGCCAATGCAGAGTGCGGCACCGAAGAAATCTCATCCTTTCAAGCGATGTGTGCGCTTGTATGGCGCTCCATAACACGAGCTCGCCGCCTACCACAAAACCAAATCACGATTTGCAGAATGATTGCTAATAACAGAGCAAAATTAGAGGTACCCACACCGGAAGATTACTTCGGCAACGTAATTACAGCATTGAAAGTGAGTGCAAAAGCAGGGGAAGTGGTTGAAGGCGGACTAGGTTGGGCGGCGTGGAAATTGCACGAAGCTGTGGTGGACAACACCAAAGAAAAGTTCAGAGAGGCAGTTGAGAAATGGTTCGAGTGTCCTTTTACTTTTCAAGTGGATCAAAATTTTGTAACGTACAGCTTGTCGATGACTAGCTCGCCCAGGTTCAATATATATGGTAATGAATTTGGAATGGGAAAAGCGGTGGCGGTCCGGAGTGGACGTGCAAACAAGTTCGACGGCAAAGTGAGTTCGTATCCAGGGTATGAAGGAGGAGGAAGCGTGGATTTAGAGATCGCTCTGTTCCCACATAGTATGGCGAATTTGGAGGCTGATTCGGAGTTCATGAGTGCTGTGTCTTCCCCGCCTCATCTGTTCCATGAGTAATATGATGTATTTTCAAGATCAAGCTTGGAGTTCGGATGCTTTCTTGAGCTCATAATTCAAGTTTCTAACAAATTAATTATTATTGTTCAAATAAAAAATGATTTTGTTTAAAAAGAATAGTCATATTTTAATAATTAAAAAGAAGAGGAAACGGAGTTTGTCACTTCTCCTTTTATTTTTATTATATTATTAGTACGTTTTTAATCCCTACCGTTCATTTTTTCTTATTATGTTTTAAGTTGAATTTTAATTTTAATTTCATCTTCTTCTACCTAATCAATACATAACTACTACAATATTTAAATCTTAAAATTTTCAAAAAGTCTCCCCATTGCTCCACGCTTCATTTTTATAATATTAAAAAAGTCTCCAAATTGCTTTGTACACGCTTCATTTTTATTATGAATATTATTGTGAGTACATCAATAGTAAATTTACTCTTAGAGTTGTGATATATTTTTCAAAATTCTGTACGAAAACGATTGAATTTACTCTTGAACTCGTAAAGTTGTACGATAGCAGTAAGCTCTAATCCGTAGTAAGAGCTAAAGACATTTTTTTTTAATTCTTAAGGAGTATGAAGAGAATGGAGTTTGACTGAACGTCTATAAAATTACACGATGTTTTCAAAAAATTTCCTATTTAATTATGAAATTATTATTGTAATTTATTCCATATCCTATTTTTTTTTTAAATAGAATTATTATTTTTATACTTTGTTGTATGAATTGTAATTTTCAATTGTTTATGTTTTTTTTTTATTATACTTATACATAATTTTTTAAAACATCATAGATCTAATAGTTGATTGGCCTACCATTTAATTGGTGATATGGATCTTTTTCAGTATGTTTGAGAATTTTCAATTGGCTTCGATGTGCACGATATTGTTTCAATTGCAAGCTCACCCATGTTGAAGTTGTGGAATTTTGATGGAATTGGTCCAATTATGAAATTTTTTTTACTAACCCGAATCTAGATCGATTCATCAAAAGGTTAGCCACTCGAGTTTAAGGAGAGAATCTATGTGAGAATTCACATTGGTTCGGGAGGGAAACGAAACATTCCTTAAAAAAGTGTGAAACTTGTTTTTAGTAGACGCGTTTTAAAATTGTGAGATTGACGAAAATACATAAGAGACTAAAACAGACTATTTATTAGTGGCGGGGTTGAATTGTAAATAGGGTTAGACTATTAGGATCTATTTGCAGAGTTTGAAGCCAAAGTCAATGCTGAAATTTCCATGTTCCAATGTAGGTGGATACGTGGATACTTAGCTATGACGAGTGTCTAACTAAATACTGAAACGGATTCCTTATTTGGAAGAGGCAAAATCCAACCTTTATTTGTAGCGTTTGTTCCTTCTCCGAAGCCGAACACCAAAACACCAACTCTTCACTCATCTCTTCCCACGATAAAAAGCGCCAATTTTCCTGCTGCTACTCACAAACGCCTTAAACTCCGACCAAAATGAACCCCCGTTATCCTCCGCTGCGTCACATCTCCAGCTGCTTTGTCAAACCAGAATTGGATTGCCTTCCCCAAGAATCGAAGCAGCCACTACATTTGAGCCCTTTGGATCTCCCCATGCTTTCCGCCCACTATATCCAGAAGGGCCTACTCTTTCACAAACCCCCCGACGCCTATCACCATCCACACACTTTTATGCCCAATCTTCTTCACCGCCTCAAAGCCTCCCTCTCCACCGCTCTCCTACATTTCTACCCACTTTCCGGCCGCCTTGCTACCACCATCAACGACCATCCACCTTCCATCTCCGTCTATGTAGACTGTGTTAACAGCCCTGGAGCCAAGTTCATCCACGCCGCCCTCGACACCACAATTTCTGATGTTCTCTCCCCTGTTGACGTGCCTTCCGTGGTCCACTCTTTCTTTGACCACGACCGGGCTGTCAACTACGACGGTCAAACCATGCCTTTGCTCTCCATTCAGGTAACGGAGTTATTGGACGGAGTCTTCATCGGCTGTTCCTTCAACCACGTCATCGGCGACGGAACCTCCTACTGGAATTTCTTCAACATGTGGTCTGAGATTTTTCAAGCACCTTCAAATCAAATTTCGCGTCCCCCAGTTCTTAAGCGTTGGTTTCCTGATGGGTATGGTCCAATTATAAATCTCCCTTTTACCCACACCGATCAATTTATCAGCAGATTCGAGGCGCCTCAACTTCGTGAGAGAATGTTCCACTTTTCAGCAGAATCAATTGCAAAATTGAAAGCAAAAGCCAAAACAGAGTGCGGCAGTAAAGGAATCTCCTCCTTCCAATCGCTGTCTGCACTTGTATGGCGATCCATAACACGAGCTCGTCGCATAGCAGAGGATCAACCCACCATTTGCATGATGGCGGCGAATGGCAGAGCAAGATTAGAACCGCCCTTTTCTGAAAACTACTTCGGCAACGTAGTTAGAGCAGTGAAAGCGGAAGCAAAAGCAGGGGAGTTGCTTGAAAAAGAGCTTGGATGGGCGGCGTTGAAGTTGCACGATGCTGTGGTGAACATCACCGACAAGAATTTAAGAGACTCACTTGACCAATGGCTGCAATCTCCTTATACTTTCCAATTGGGTCGATTTTTTAGTCCGAATAGTATCATGATGGGGAGCTCGCCGAGGTTCAATGTGTATGGGAATGAGTTCGGAATGGGAAAGGCGGTGGCGTTAAGAAGTGGTTATGCCAATAAATTTGACGGCAAAGTGTCGTCATTTCCAGGAAACGAGGGAGGAGGAAGCATTGATTTAGAGATCTGCCTTCTCCCGCAAAATATGGCAATGCTGGAATCTGATTTGGAGTTCATGAATGTCGTCTCTTCCTCGCCTTTTCAGCCCTGTGAATCATGATTCTATGTCATAAAATATGCAACAAATCGTGTATTTTTCAAGATGATTTGATTTACTTTGAAACCCACGAACTGCATTTTAAATGTTTTTATCGAATGGTTGTTTTTCTTTGGAAATGATCCACCCCACTCTCCATGCTTTCTCACTCTCCATGCTTTCTCTCATCCTTATAAGACCCCATCAAATCTACGGGTTCCGGGAGGGGCCTAGTGTCATGACCAACTGATGTGGGATTGATCTTTCTACCATATAATTGGATTAAGATTGCTTAAATGACTCTAGCGTACCAATACAAAGTAAAAAATGATTACCTAATAAATGCATTTAAAATCTTGATTTAGACTTATAGGCTAGAAAATGAATTATTCTTTTAACCTAATAAACGCGTTTAAAACCTTGATTTGGACTTACATGCTTGTTTAGACTAAGTTTAAATAAAAGTAAGAATTTGACCATTGGAACATTTATTTTTGATGCGGACTACAAAGTTGAAAGGTCGTTGTTATAATATTTAATGTAGACTTTCTAACGTTACATCCTATGCATCCAAATTCTCTTCGTTTACATCACTAGCACTGTTTTAAAAGCCCACCACGAATCTTCAATGCCTCGTAAAATCGGAGACAATTGGTTGGTAACGCTTGCGGTTCAATCTTGTCTTCTCTCGAGTTTTTTTATTTTTTTTTTATTTTCAAATAGGATTGGTCAAAATTGATCAGCCTTCCTACACCTCTTATTTAAACCGACCAACTCAACACGACACATCGGAACATTGATAGCCCGGCGCCTCATAAATCCACTCTGTTCCGACAATATGATTCACTACATCTCAGAGTGCTTCATCAAACCTCACACCATCCCCGAACAATCTAACCATCCATATCACCTTTGCCCATGGGACCTTGCCATGCTTTCTATGCACTACATCCAAAAGGGTCTGCTTTACGCCAAATCTCCGGCCACCGTCCACGACGGCGGCCGCTTCATGGACGATCTCTTGAAAAAGCTCAAGCGCTCACTCTCGGTTGCCCTCGTTCATTTCTTCCCACTCGCCGGACGACTCGCAACGATTTCATATGAAGATGAAGGGTCTTCCCTCGTTTATGTGGACTGCAAAAACAGCCCCGGAGCCAAATTCATCCACGCGCGTGTCGACATGTCGAGTTCTGATATTCTTTCACCCTCTGACGTGCCGTTGATTGTCGAATCGTTCTTTGACCATGACAGAGCAGTCAACCACGATGGTCATTCCAGGCCGTTGTTGTCAGTTCAGGTCACCGAATTAGTTGACGCCGTCTTCATTGGGTGTTCCGCTAACCACACCATCGTCGACGGAACATCGTACTGGCACTTCTTCAACATGTGGTCCGAAATATTTGAAGCAGGGGATGACAATATTTCAATTTCACGCCCACCGATTCTGCAGCGTTGGTTCCCGGAGGGCCATGGTCCAATTCTAAAGCTTCCATTTACGGACCCTGATCAATTTATTAACAGATTCGAGGCTCCCCAACTCAGCAAAAAGTACTTCCATTTTTCTTCCGAATCGGTGGCTGCACTGAAAGCAAAGGCAAATACAGATTACGAAACCAACAAAATCTCCTCCTTCCAGTCCTTATCTGCGCTGATTTGGAGATGCATAACGCGAGTCCGTGGCCTGCCGCCGGATCAAACCATCGGTTGCATAATGGCAATAAACAACCGATCAAGATTGGAGCCACCCTTATCGGAAAATTACTTCGGGAATTCGATTCATTCAATAAGAGGAGTAGCGACAGTGAAGGAACTAGAGGAAAACAACCTTGGATGGGCGGCGTGGAAATTGCACGAGGCTGTGGTGAACCACACGGATAATGTAGTGAGAGGTGCTGTGAAGAAATGGGTGGAATCTCCGATGATATACCAAATAACCGGAATGTTCGATCCATCGAGCGTGATGATTGGAAGTTCCCCCAGATTCAACAAGTACGGGAACGTGTTTGGAATGGGGAAGGCGCTGTGTCTTCGAAGTGGGTATGCTAACAAGTTCGATGGGATGGTAGCGTGTTATCCAGGTTCTGAAGGAGGAGGAAGTATAGAACTGGAGATGTGCCTTCCGCCGCCTGTCATGAGTGCTCTCCAGGCTGATCAGGAATTCATGGATGCTGTTACGGTTTCATTTAATCCATTGCACTGAAAGCTACATTTCTTTTGATTTCATAATAAGAAC